AACAAGATTTTAATTTTTAATTTGAAACTGTACGGTTAACGGAAATATATCACTGCCTTCCAAAATTTAAATTTAAAATGAAAACAGGTATATCCGTGAAAGGACTCGAAAATGTGTTATTTTAATCGACCGTCCGTATGATACAGGATAAAACCGTATGGATTCAATCGTGTAAAAAGATCCACCGGAAAATTCCCATAAAAATTACACGATCGGTGCCTCGAGTGTTTAGCGACACGTGACTAATTTCGTGGCTCACGCACTGATGGATATCGGTTGGAATCATGTACTTTCGGTTACGCGAAAATGTTTACGATATAACTGCGTTTCGATGGTATTTGCTTAACACGTTTCCTTTCAATTTGTAAACTATATTTGCCACAGCAAATTTATTGTTTCATGATAATTAAAATAATTTTATTATTTTTTTTAAATAACAAAAGAATTTTTAAATATTTTATGATTCACATATTTTTATGATCAAAGAATGAGAGGTAAAAGCATTTAATATTATAATAATAGACCTCTTGCATTTAAATACAGATTAAAATATAAGGCAACTCTATTATATTATACTATATTAACGATTATATTTTTCATAACATGTTAAATCTTTTAAAAATCATAAAAAGAGAGAATTAATATTCCAAATAATACCTCGTTCAAATTGTATTATTAATTAATATTTATTGATGTCAATAAATTATAAACAAGCATGTTATTGTGTAAAAACTAACGATAAGATCGATCATGTAAATTGTAGTATATTAACAATATATTTTTGAGATTTTTCCAGTGCATTATTTTTAACGTTATTATAAAGTAGTTCTATAAATTTTGATTAATTCTCTTTAGGACTAAAGTTTCTATTTTCTTGTATATTTATCAAAAAATGCATAAGCAGAAAATGAAAAAGCGTTAACAATACGAGAGGTCGATAAGAAGCATCATGTCTAAACTTATTAACGTTGAAACATACGCTCGGCTGATTCGCGATATTGAAACCTATCTCGAAAATCCCCGGCGCCACGATTAATCACTGAAGCCGCGATCGGCGGCGTTGACCCTTTTCTGTACGCTTCATGCCGCGTTTATCATCGTACTTTTCGCATGGCCGCACATTTTTCATCGCTCACGCGTATCCAGCCAAATCAACCGGCGGGCTCGCTCACTGGAATAACACAAGGACGCGAATAATACGGGAGCCGGGAATAATTCCGGGATAAATCAGCCCGCCTTCGTCCTTTAATATTCTCTCCCCGCTGCTGTCCGATAATACAAAATCGCGGCATAATTTTGGTATAAATCGAAGGCGGGGGGAACGCGAGGAAGCGGAAGGGAACGGGATGCGTTCTCTTTCTCCCTCCCTCTTTCCCCCCCTCTCTCTCCCTTTCCCTTTAAAAGCCACGGGCGTTTCCTTCCTGGTGTCGGACGATAGGATTTCCCCGTGTTATACGACTTCCTTTTCATTGACAGCGACAATGGCGCTCGTCGTGGTGCACTTGTCGCCTCTGTCGTCGTTCCTAGCAGAATCCAAGTGTTCTGTACACGGAAACACGCGCGAGAACGCGTACACACACATGCGCGCGACACGCGGAAGATATGGGAGAAGGTTGACGGATCGCAATTCACGCGACACTGTCGTGTTGGCGTCATGGGCGTCGCCGGGAATGCAACGGGGTGCACCGCACCCCTGAACTCTGTTCTAGGATAGAGCGACAAGCTCGCGTGAAAAATATAACAGAGAAATTCGTCGTTAATTATAGCAGTGCCGTAGAAAGTACGTGATAAAATCATTAAGACCGCGTTGCGGTTTAACGAACCTCGCAAAGTCCATTTTGCCCTAATAGGAAGGTACTGAAAGTCACTCGGGCCTAAGTGCAATACGAGTGTCTAAGGTTAACGTTGCATAGCTGTCGTCATTAATTAAATGGAAAAAAAGTAGGAAAGTTTCCAAGTTTTCTTTCGAGAAAATTTCTGCCATTTCAGGAAAAGTCATGTCGACGCCCATGACTACGTTCTCTCTGGATTCGAGAGGGACGCGCGACGAGAGGAGCAGACGCTTCTTGGGCAAACATTTTTACGCTATTACGGGAATCCGAGACTGGATATTAAGCAAACGCTTACAGCTGCAGGAAATCGCTCGAACTCTTCGTGTCGAATCCTCGCGTACTCTCTCGAATGATGCTGAGCGAGGAGAATCGAGATTTGCGAATTTTTATCGAGAAATTTGTAATAGCGACGATGAGAAACGCGAAATATGCGCTTAATCGGTAGCGACCAAAATATTCTTTAAATGGAGATATTTATATTAATAATTACATCGAAAGAATATATATTACTATTTTTTATCGTTTTGTAGAAGATAATAATATTCGATTATTTTAATTTATACACTGAGGAAAAATCTGGTTGCATTAATTAGAATTCTGGTAGATCAGATTCAACCAGTATGTCTGTTGGAAAATGGACGTAAATTCTTGTAAGAATTACCAAATGAATCTGATTAATTTCTTCTTATTAAATTTACCAAATTTTCTGGTTAATAATACTAAACTCGCCAGCACCAAGTCATCTAAAATTTTTTCCATCTAATCTCAAAAGTCTGTTTAATATTCTAAATTCCAACAAGATTATTAGATAAATTCAATCCAGATTATTGAATAAATTATTTTAAATTCAGTGTGTTAGAAATTAAACTGATAAACAGTGATGCAAGAAGAGGATGCAGCTCAAACACACACAATCAAAGAGCTAGCGTCCTCTTTCTGGTACTACTGCTTGTAAGAGAAAAATAATATATTTTGGATTTAATGTTAATACTAGTTCTTTATATACATTTTAAAAACATTTTATAACACGAGTTAAGTTAAGAGTGGCTCGCCGCAAGCAAAGAAATTAATGTAACAAGAAATTTTATAGATCTAACCAGAAAATATTAACCAAATCCTTATAGTAAAATCTATTAAACGTTCTAGTTATAAAAAATCGAGTCTTATAACTAGAAATTCTTGTTTGATTTAACCAAAATGCCTTCAATCATACACGTCTTGTTGATACAATCAAACGATTTTTCTCAGTGTATCTATCAGTATAAATAATATCACTGTGTGTGTCTGACTGGATTTTATTTTTTATAGTTATAAATCTTGTCTCGTATTTCTTAAAATATATTTCTCCTACAAATCAATCTAGATTTGTTTAGAGATATTGGCCGTTTCTCTTTACCGGGCGCGTTTGAGAGCAATACCGAGAGATGTGAACGCGTTTAGTTCGAGCGCGGTTGATTTATCGTGGGAGAAAAGGGTGGCGCGCGAGTGAAAGAAAAGGGTGGCTTTTCGACGACTGAACGAGGCACTTCTGTCAATTACTACCCGTCGCGTAGGTAGAACGGTGAAAACACGTTTTATCCCTGGCAGCCCGAACGCGACGGATAGATGTCACGTCATCGTCACCCCCGAGAAGCGATTACGAGGCAAATGGCGGCGTCCCGTCTCGAAAGCACCCTCGACATCGCGTCCTCGATTCAACCGCATCGTCATTAAGTTACCGTCAATTAGGACGAATGCCCGGACGAACGTATTCAGTATGAAAAAGCTCGCGTGCCTGCCTGAAGAGAATCGGAAATATCATTTATCTTCCCCTCTCCAAGAGAACCTAACTATCTCCGGTATTTGTAGGGGAGAGTTTGTTAAATGGAATCTTTCTAAAAGAGACTGGACATTGCTATTGATATTATAATCAATCTTCTACAGAAAAGGATCATATTGAATTATTATAGTAAAAAATTTCATCCACCGACTTATTGTTGGTAAAGTGAAGAAATTAATTAATTCTTCACTTTTTTTTTAACGTCGCAGATTTTAATAGGTTTCTTTAGAAAGGATTTGAAAAATCATAACTGCACGATCTCTTTCTACCAATGTCAACGATGAATAACGATTCGCGTGCGCGATGCTTGAATCAAAATAAATCGTCTACCGTAAACTGAGGCACTCTCTGTAATTAAAGGGAAAGGTCGGAATGATCTAAGAGCTGTTCGAGAGCTCTGATATAGAGACCCCCGTCGCGGTATCTCTTACACAAGTGGGAAATGGAGGGAGGGGGTGGGGGAGGAGGACCATACGGGGAGTGCCGTGCACACGCGTGCACGGTCCATTCGGTTTCGTTTATTTTGCCGGGACTCACGTGTATATACGGTCGGGAAAAAAATAATAAATATCCAGAGAGAAAGAGAGGGAAGGTAAGTGCGCGATCTCGCCACGGGGGTACGATAGGTAGGTGTCACGCTACCGCGCGACCCCCCGTCGCGACGATTACCGGTGAGCCGAGAGGGTGGAGTCGCCTTTCCGTTGACACTGCATCACGAAGCACTAACCGGGTTATTTATGCCACCTCGTAAAACTTGTGGCGTGCCTGAACACACTACTCGCCGTTCGAGGTGGGCCAATCTCGAGTGTGACAGAACGAGGGGGTTGGTACAATCGTGCTCGCCGGGATCTGAGCTTACCTTACCTACCCCGTCGTGCTTCTCCTGTGTCACCTCGACTCGGCGTTCAAAGTTACGAGATAGGCGGATAGTAAATACGAAATAGACGCGAAGGATTTAACGCGAAATGTCGCATGCGACGGCGATACGTATTTATATATATATCTATAATATAATGTTAATACGTGCAATCGTATGCGACGAAGGGACCGCGCGAGTCTCTGGCTTTTCCACGTGAGTTATGAGGGCCGCGCTATTTTTATTACACGTCAGATTATCAGCCGGTGAGCGATAACTGGGGAATGCTTTTACGTGCGAAATGTCAACGGGAGTTGAAAGTTCGCGCGAGCGTAAATCACGCTTTTCTCAAAGATTTTCGTCTCTGGTAAAAATGTTTATCTGCTCAAGAGCAATTTGTATGCTTCGAGATTGTGATGATGTAAGATTGCACCCTGTCCCTCGAACGGTACAGTTTTTTTTAAAAACATAATTTCTTTTCTCAAACACACAGTTACCTTATTCCATGGAGTTGGATTATGACGTGGAATATGGGGCGGGAGTGCTGGGTGGACCGTCCTCCGGGATGATGGCGTTGCTGCCACCGAGAGTGAATGTCTCTGCGAGGGGCGAGATTCCAGTCACCCTGCAAGTCTTCAGGATCAGATTGCCCTGTTCGGGGGTCGTTAGCGCCGAAATTCCTCTGGCACTGAGATTGAATGTCACCGCGCCACCCGGCACTAGGTACAACGACACCATCTTGGTCTTCAAGAGAAACAAGATCTGCTTGAAAGGTACGTGAATATATCTAGTTAGAGGTATAATTTCTAGGCGATTTTGCGTGACAATTTTGAAAAATGTCGAAATACACCGCGTTTCGCATTATTTTCGTATTTTCCTGAAGTCAATCACTGAAAATATCACTGATTAAAAAAGTGGCAAAATTTTAAAGATCAACGAATATTTTATTTATTAATTTTTAGCCATTTTTTTAGATTTTAAAACTCATATTTTGCTCTTATTTTATATTTTGCTGATTATGAGATTGTACTGAAAAATTAGCCTCTACCAGTAATTAATTTTTTTCAGTGAGATTTTATTTTCATCAGTGATAGTATACTGAGTTCATTTAAGAAAGTATATGCAGAGATTTTAAAACGGAAAGAGAGAAAGAGAGCGGTATACCTATTTCATTATTCTCGCGCATGAAATTCAATGTGATTTGAAATTCCGCGATTTTCATGGCAACCACGCATTAACCGAGAACCTAGATCCGGATTCTAGATTTTTTTCTCCTTTTCGTTGAAGGAATGCCGCGAGTTCTCTCCTTCCGCTTGTTTTATTCAAAGTCTGAAAAAATCATGACGGCACTCGCCGTTTATCTCACTTGAAATATGAAAACGCTAAAGTGTGAATTATATAACTCTTCCATTTAGTAATGTTTTTACTCTAATTAAAATTGCAATTTTTCCCCAATTCTGAATAACATTTATTTAACTCTTTGAGATTTAGATTCGTTTCTATTTCATGACTGCGTCATTAATTTAATCGTGATACATTTAATCAATGCACGTACACATGCAATATATATATATATAATACATATAATTATACAAATTAAATACATTTCTTCAGGAAATACATTGACATGAATACAATATCACGTTGGTGCGAAAGGTTTATGAATTTCTATGCTCTATTATTTAATGCGGTAATATTGATCTACAATGCGTTATATGAAGATCCATTTCAAAGGATGATACTATTCAAGCTTTGTAATATATGTAACATGTGGTTCGCTTGTTCATATATTCTACAGTACACGAGCGAGTCGCAGCAGAAAGCGCCTTTATTCATCTGTACTCACTTTGGCGCCATTGCAGCCTGTTGATAATTATTTCGTTTACGTAATATCGGATTTAATTAGTGCGTTCGCGAACCCAGTTGAATACCTTCGTTACGGCGAGACAGTTTCGACGTGGTCGCGATTAAAACAGAAGCGCGCATTCATTTCGCGTCACGCGCAAACTCAATTTATCCACGCGATTTATGGACTCTAGAGTAAGCGATTTTTGGTAACTTTGATTTAACGTCGGGAGGTTAAACATTTTTAACATTAAAAAAGGTAATAACAATAGGAACAATTTTTGAAAATGAAATAGAATAAAATAAATATTTATAATTGCATTTAAATATACATACACAAAAAATTGAAACTATATCCTATGTATTTTTTATTCATAGAAGAAAATTTATAGATTTATAAACCGCAATATAATTTAAACCACATTTGTATAATTTAAAGTATTATTTATTTGTCATTTAATATTATTAAAAGTGTTATATAATTTATTTAGAATTGTTACACTTATTTTATTAAGCGATTACTTCGAAATAATTTCCGACACTTCAGAGCTTTTGCTAAATAAACAACTGTTAAATTATAAATACAATGCGGAGCACGCGCATGGTCGTTTAAGTAATTATGTTTAGATAATGGAATTATATATACACGTGTAGTTTACGTTACGAGCAGAAATGGAAATGTTATGACGGACGCGAGCAAAGGTACAAACGTAATTTCCGCACCACTTCCGACAAGGGTGCTCGTAAACTTGTACGCATGGTACTTCACAGGCGGTTCTCTCGACTCCGCAAACTTCACGCGACCTCGAAAGCGTGTTTTCTGAAAAAACAAGCCGCACGGAGCAACGATGAATGCAATCTGGCAAATAACCCCCCTTCCCCCGATTTTCATCCCTCTCTCTAGCGCCATAATAGTTTGCGAATACTTTATACTGATTTTGTGTAACCAAAATGAGTTTTGGGGTGCATGGTTTTCGATAAATAAACGTTCCGCACAAAATAAATTGAAACCACAGCGATGGATTCATGCACTCCATCTTTTTAATTAAGAAGAAAATTGATTCTTTGGTTTCCGATGAAAACGGGTAAAAATTGGATTTTGTAGAATTAAAGAGATGAAAAAAAGAACGCATTTTAAAATTGAAAATAATTTTTCTTTATTTTTGACCAACAGTTGACCGCGACTTTTTCGTTCTCTGAAATAATATCGTTAGACACGAAACAATTTTTTAAATGAATTTTATTGAAATACTCATATTTAGTCCTATATTTTACGTTATTTTATTATATTAAATACACAGAATTTTTTATCTTAAAAATTTAGAAAACATTTATTTAAAATCTTTTTACTAAAATGTAATTAAATATCCCTGGTGTCATGCATAGAGAAACGCATGCATTTATATGATATCTACAGAAAACAATTCGATAGGAGGCGAGCAAGAAAAAAATGAAAAAAGAAGAAAAACAGAAAGGGAGAAAGAGAAGAAGACAAAGAAGTCGCAGATCCGGATCCGGTTACCGAAGCAGGCGATGGTACAACAAAAAGCAATTCGCCGAGTAAAATTGAATTTCGTCGAGGGTCGGTGTATTTAATGAAAGAGAAGAGAAGGCACCAAGAAGATTCCTCCTTCGACGAAGATCAAGAGAGTCGATCGTATAGAAAAACGAGGTGGACAGGGATATGCGAAGAGAGGAAAAAGGACGAAAATAAGTAAGCACCACCGCGGTGAGGACCATAGTCGCGTCTTGAAGAGCAGATTTCCTGCTTTGTCGAATTTGCTTCTTCCTTGTCCGCTCCCGCATCGCCAAAGAAACCGAGGCCGGCTCCTGACGAGTCCTTGGACGATCGTTTCGAGCTCGAGAGGTCCTAGCAGCAATCTGAAAGCGCCTCGAGATCACTCGAAAATAATCGAATTCTCTATACGGAATTCTCTATATTCTCCAAGAAGACTAGAAGATATATTGAAGACTATTGAGATGTCAAATCGAAAAAAAGAAAGATTTAATAATGTCAACTTATTCTCAACTTTCAAATTATAGTTATTTTATTATTTGAACTTTCAATTCGCAATTCGCATTGAGAGTGCACATATTAGATATTTTTTGTTCATATTTTTAAATGACAATATATTCTACCTTCCATATTTTTTTCAGAATTTTCTGTGTTGTTTTCAAACATTTATATTATTTTTCATCTCAAATATCTTTAAAAAATACCGACAGTTTATGAATTATTGAATAATTTCTCTTGCGAGCAATATATACTATATTTAGAGAGTATTAAAAAAATATGTGAAATGTTTGAAGGTAGTGATGCACTAATAAAGATACATCGCGAGGGGATAATTCACCCAACTACTTAAAATATATAAATAAGTATCAATTTTCACTTTTTTTTCGGCACCTAACTGTCGTTAAATTTTCTTAATAGAAAAGAATAAATTTATCAGCGCCTAAAAGTGTAATTTCGTGATTTACGCGAGTCTCTCGACATGACTAAATTTGTTTCTAAAGTCCACAGAGTTCGCGGCGAATGAGGAAACGCGACTCGTGGAGGGTCACCCTGTTAATCCTCTGGAGACTTAATTCCGGTCCTCCGTAAATCTCGGTTAAGGTCTGTTTGATGGTAGCGGATAGCATAGCTCAGTCGGATTTAATTGAGAAGTCGCTCTTAACACGCCTTCCTGACTTTATAGTCGCCCTTTGAGTTTCGCGAGTGCGCGTCAATCGCGCAATTTATATCGATAGGTGCTCCACATTATTTGACTAGTGCAGCGTAATCGAAACGAGATGAAAGTATAACGATGTAGAATGTCTATATTACGCTATTTTTAAATAATCGCACGATGTTAATTTACATATTTAAAAAACCATATTCGATGTATAATATATACGTGATTTAATTTATGTAGGGGGAGTAGCAAAATATAATAAATTTAAATATTGCAAAATATGTAACCGAGCTACATTTTATAGTTAAAATTAAATAAATTAATGAAAAAAACCTGATGAATATATTGCAAAATCTAACGCAATTGCAATTTTAGCGCAAAAATAATAGAGACCTCTCGAAAATGCTCGTCCGTTTCTCGGGCGCATCGTAGCGCACACACGAGAGAAACATTTTAGGAAGATGGAAGGACTCCGCGAAGGAACGATGCGAACGAGTTGCTCCTAAGATACTGTAGCGCAACGCCGAGGGCTACTACGATTTATTTAACTTTTTCTTTTCCTGCTGCATCCTGCGCACGTCTCATCGCGCTCGAGCAAACTCTTTCTCGTCTCGTTCCTCGTAGCTCGTGTTCGCAATGTGCTCTATCACGTAAAGCTGATCTGCTTGGTTTACGTTATTCTGGCAAGAGCACGAAGTCTATTTCCTTCCTTCGTAAAATGAACGAGGGAAAAGGAGAAAAGAGATAAACATCAAGGCTTATTAGAGCCCGTAACATATTTGTCAAAGTGAAGAATTATATTTACAATTTTTTTACGGGAAAACAACACAAGGGAATAATAAAATTGGAAGTAAAATTAAGAAAAATGTTGTTATTTGAATGTTAAGTTTTATAATAAATTTTGAGATGGACGAATCATTGATAATTTAAAAACGTAGAAAATTGAAGCTAAAATATAATTTTGAAGTTATTTTTCAATCCCATTATTGATAATTTGTGAGAATAATAATTTCAAGCTTAACACGAAGAGAAAAATTATAGCTGAAAGTTTTATAATAAAAATTAAAATTTTATATAAAAGTACGACACGTTTTTTTAGACTAAAGCAACTATAACTTGCAAAAAATGTTGAAAGTAATCCAATGTAACATTACTGAATGATGCATCGTAAAGTTTCTACATAAAAGATTTCGGCTTTCAAGTTTTTAGTTTCTCTCTTGATGGAAAGGAAGGAAAAAAGAAAGAATCATGACTGTATATTATGTCGACAATATTTTAATTTTCATTCTGAATTCTTTTACGCCGCAGGCGGTATGTATTTTTAAAGCATTGTTATTTTTACCGCAACTACGACGAATATTTCAAAGAATCGTACCATTTCCTCTCTCTCTGTAGACGACATAGATGTTACTTACTGAAATTACTTTACAACAAAAAATGGTGACCTTCAAATAAATATATAGGGAAGAAAAAGCGACTTGTTATTTAATACCCACAATCAAAATTTAACTTTAATTATCGAAAAATAACAATTTGCGAGTTCGACAAAATTTTGTGCCAATTTTTCCCGAAATTTTAGAATCTTTGTCTTTATATATCTTCATTATATTCAGCGAAAGAGAGCACAAGATTGAGTTTCTATAATTAAATTGAAAAAAAACTATTAGAAATTCGTCAAAAATATACGAGAAAACTTGATAACCACGATATTTTATGTGGAAAAAATAATTACTTGCGTACGCGAGTTATAAGTCAGGGGAGAAGCAGAATTTAATAATGGCGATCTTACTCGTTCGTAAAAAGAAAAAAAAAAGAAATAAGTTAGCGAAGAAATGGAGAGTTGTTTTAGATTTCAGGCGAGCAACGCCTGAAATTGGAGGAACGCATTTAGGGATTATACGACGCTATAATCTCGGCAACGAGTTAAGAGCTGATGGAGTTTACTTAATTTTATCATGACGCTCCGAAAGGATGCGCCCCTTTTCCTCGGCATATCCTAGTCGAGGCTGACGTGCTCGGTTCTTGAAAGCTTTTGAGCTCTCGCGCTAAAGTTCCTCCGTCTAGGCCACGTTATTTACCTTTATAACAGACGACAAGGCGCCGCTCAGTTCGACCAGAGTCTTTACTTCTCACAACGCACGAAAGGATAGAGAGAAAAGAAATATCAGAAAGCCAAGTATGGCGGAAAAATGTAAACGTGCGCGACGCAGAGAGAAAAGTCTCGACAAACTCGTTGTTTCACAATCCCTTTCGCGAAGCGAACGGAGCTAACAAAGTTCGACTAATTCGTTCTAGATTCCTTATCAAATGTGCATTTCGATAATGAAAAGTTTCAACTAAAATTGCGCCCGAATATAGTTTATAAAGTTTCAAGTAGGTATGTCGGAATATTTTAATAATCAAAATAAATTAAATAAAGAAAAATTTGATTATTTTAATTGAGATTTCAAGTGATATACATTGAAAATGATAGACATATCTCGAGAGTTCAAGTGATACACATTGAAAATGGTAGACATATATTCTTCAAATTTGTTTTCCACACAAATAAAGAATGGAGCCGTTAGCATACGCAACGCAGGAATCCTACGGCGCGTGAGAAATGTGTAACTATTTGCGAGGTAAAAGTAAATCGAATGAAACAGTACCTTTCTTGCTGGAAAATTCGTGGTTTGCGACCAATGACTCGCTATCAAAGTGAGATCTCTTTGGGCACTTTCCACGACTCGTCGATATTCCCGCTCGTTCGATAGCGCCGCGATACGTATAAACAATGGCTCGATTCGCGTCCAGTGCTTTTCGATAGATTTGAATCTCGAGCACGTGGCTCGAGTGGAAATGCTCCAATTGATAAAATGGATTGCCGATACTATAATGGCGATCGTGCGAGTTTTGTAGATTGAATACATTTGTATTTGGTGACGGATATAAAAATCGTCGAATAGAACGTCAAGAGGCTTCGCGAGTCGCGTAGCAATTTTTTTTTCGATACAAAATAAAATTAAAATTAAATTAAATTATACACCGATGCGTTACAGAGTTATATATGTGTACATATATTGTTGGTCGCATTTTCTAAAAATTAAAGCACGAGGAAAATGCTTAATTTGACACTTAAAAAGAAATTTATTTTTTATGAAAAAAGGAGAGGAATTTTTTTATCAAATCAATTTAATTATCTTTAATGTATCTATCACAATAATTTTCGAGCGAATGCACCCCTCTTCCATTTATTTTTATATTTGATTTTTAAAATTGCATAAGACAAGGAGAGGTGTATAGAGATTTGTAAAAAGTAATTAATTAATTTATATCTATTTTCAGGTGTCGAGACACCTCCCAGCAACGATTCGGTGCGTTTGGAGCCCGATCCGCTCGCAAACGGTGCCGGTGCACTTTACGTCGCAGCTACTTGTGCGTGCGCTTTAATTCTTGTCGTCGGCAGTGTCGCCAGTGCGTTATACATTCGCAACAGCAAGGCTCGCGTTCAAGAGTCGCAGTGAGTAAATTTTTTCATTAATTATACAGAAAAGTATAGTAGTATGAATATCGTGTATTTAAAATCCCGATGTACCACCACTTTTCCGCTGTTTCGATATTTAAAGTGTTTAGATTAAAAACACGGAAAGGAAGTCTGAGAATGAAATTTTTAAAGAGTAAGCAAGTGTAAGATGAAAGGAGAGGCTTTGTGTATCCTGATAAATTGCCGGTCTTAATCTTTGGTTCGTTAGAATTATTCAAAGAAGTTCGCGCATTATTAAAAACGCGGCAGAAAGAAGTATAATCGGAGCAGTAATAACTCCACATGCACGTACACACGTAAATGCGTCGGTGGATTTTCGAGCCGACGTCTGGCTCGAAAGGAGAGAAACCGACACGAGGAAGAATAATGTGGACGCCGTGCAACTTTTCATTCTACGTCACTTATTAAATTCGCATTTCAAAGCATCGTCCCTCTCGTGCGTCGCTCGCAAAAAGAAGAGAAGAAAAAAAGGAAAGAAGAGAGGTACAAATCGCTGCTCGCGTAGAAAAGATTTTTCCATTACGCAAGACGCCGTCGCTTCGCGTAAGGCGCGTCGTAAATACGGCTTTTCACGTATCGCGCTCTCATTTTCCGCGAGGCGTTCGAGAGCGAAAGAATTCGCGCGTGTCTTGCGACGTCGCGAGTTTTCTGCCGAGCGGAAGAATCGTCTGGGAGGAGGAGAGGGGGTTGGGGGAGGAAATGGAAGGGGAGAGTGACGAAAAGATTTTCGTACACCCGCGGGAAATTCGCGGGGATAAGCTGGATAGGAGGAACTCGTCCGAATGAAATATCCTTTCAATAAGCCGCCGGTGATCCGTCGACCGCTTGGCACGGCAGCCGACATTTTATTGCATAGCTATACGCACCCTCTTACCTTATCCGTGGGACTGGCTGCTGGGGGGAATGTAAGGAGGATGTAAGGGGTCGCGAGAGAGGATCCGCTCTTTTATCTCTCTTTCCATATTCATGCTTTATACTCTTTTGTTTGTCGATCGCCTTTGACCGCGTTGCGCGCATACTTTGAATGGGTTCGATGTAGAGACTTTTTTTGAAATTAATATCGCATTTGATCTCCCCTGAAATGATTTTCCGTTCACATTGATTACAAATCTGCGAAGATTTGGCTCTCTTGACAAAAATTTTTTTAAATCACTTTCTAGTGATTCCCAATGTCACAAATCCTATGTACAGTTTGTGTATTATTATTTAATGTTAATAATATTAATTTCCAATATTAATATTTAATATTAATATATAGTAATATTTAGAGCAATTTTTATTATTTATAATATTATTTATATGGATGAAGTTCACAGTTCTTTTAATTAAAATGATAAAGAAATCCTTACTGGATAAAACCGCGTGTGGTTTCAGATTCATAAATTACAACTCAAAATTAAAGGCACTCGTCAAGAATTAAAACCTCGCAAGAAAAATTATTTTCACAGACCTGTATGTCATTTGACATTTATAAAAATACTTTATTAATTTTATTTTATAGCGTTATTAATTTCATTTTTTATAAAGAAAGTAAAGTACAAAAATACAGTTTTTATGCGCGATGCAGAATATTTTAGATCCCTCATTTTCCTTTAATAGGATTGACTTTTATTTTCGTCGGTAAATTGTCTTTGTCTGAATATATCGAGCATCCTGAAAAGACCTCGTCATGAATTTTTCTCGTTAAACGAAAAGCAGATCGTGTTCTAGCACCCGTCTCCTCATTAACGATATTATGCGAAAACTTGTACCCGTTGCTTTTAAAGTTCGATCGTTATTTTCACTGTAATTATTTTATACTTTAGCGTATCGAATGTTCCATTTCACGTGCCTCTACTTCGAGGCATAATCGGTGGACGGAGAATGTAGAAATCATATTGCCAGAAAGTTGGGCAGAAGCAAAGCCACTCGTCGCTTCACTTTGCTGCCACCTCCTTCTCTTCCCCTATTATTTGTTTCAAAGAGGGCAAATTGTCTTTTACCCGGATATTTATTAGCTTCTTTGATGTTCTCCGTTGCGATTTTTTTAACGAATTTTTCCCGATACTGTTAAATGATAAACAGTGGATTTGCTCTTTCAACGAATTTTGCTGGAAAATTGTATATTATATGTTGTATTATTCATAACATTATATATTTCATACTTAAAATCATTCGCTAATCACTCATCAAAGATAAATTTTTTTTATATCTTATACATTTGACAAAATTATAATTGCTTTTCCTTAAAAGTAAGACCTGTTTCTGGCTGTTTCTATCAATCTGTACGGACGATAAAAAATGCAGTGCATGGGAAGATATATTACGTTAAATCCCAGCGTTATATTACGCGAGATTGAAATATTACACGCCAATCTGTCGCGGAATTGGAATCAATATCTCACCGCGGTACTGACCGGAGAATTCGAAAAAGAAAGCAACAGATGTTCGCTCGAACAAACAACATGCGATTGGTCGGCGCGTGATACGAATCGAGTACGATCATCCGTAACAATGATCTCGCATCGGAGGACATCAAATATTTATCGCGTGGCAAAGTGGCCTTTATGGGGAACTTATAGGGAACCGAAAGGAGGGGACGCGCCCTTACTTTATACGCGCCTTTGGGTTCCTTTTGACGCGGACCAATTGTCTCTCCCGGGATATATTAGCTCTTTTGAGTCTCTTCACCCCGATACCGCGCGAAGGAACGAGGATCTTTGCTTCCCTTGGTCTGTCTTCCCGGTCTCCCTTTCCCTTTTTATCTTTTTTTTTTCTCCTCTACGTACATCCCCGTCGGCGGGTAAAACTGCAGATTTTACATCCGTTCGCTCGAGCGAACACGAGCCGCCCTCGTCCCTCGTAAGCTCTTCTTGCCGCTCGAATTCGACGTACAAAAGGCGCCTTCGAGATTCGGCAAGCAGCGAAAAGTTTCCTCGGGAGTAGTTACGCCACTCACGAAACTCGCGTCGGGATTTCGTTGCAGTCTTCCAACTTTTGCTCCTTCGGCGATGTTTATTTTTGCATTTCGATATTGGCTCGATTGGTCTTTCCGTGACTGTAGGCGCACATATGCTTGTTGCAGTTTTTCCCTTTAATAAGAAGATTCACATATATAAAGACCTGCTCTTTAACTCGTAATCATTCTTGCGATATATTTTTGATCATACGAGTTATTCAGAATACTTGTGTATAAATACTAAGGGCAATTTTTTAAAGATTTTGTAAACTTAAAATGTACATTCTTACGGAAATTTTATTCGTAATATTTGTTCTAAAGTTTGCAAAATTTTATTGCCTCTTCTTCCGAAAGAAAGTTATTGAACTTGAGACATTTTGCAGACCGTTCTTACTTAGGAAATTAGATTAAAATGATCGATTTACGGATTTTGCTCGAGCCGATAATATTGCGGCGAACACGTCCTCGATTTCGCCATAAATTTTCGATCTAGGAATATTTCAGCGCGAATATTCGTTCGCGAGTTGCAAAAATGATATTACTTTCCGAACGACGCTTTAACGTTTCTGTTCCTCGCTTTCACGGACGTAGACAGATTCGCCGGAAGTCGATCTGGCTGCGAAACGCTTCCGTAAGGGTCGCGTAAAAATAAACGGGCACGAATGAACGAACTAGGGGGATATTTGAAATCGATGGCTGTACGCGTTTTTCTACCGCTCGTCTTTTTAACGAATATACATTCGACGGCAGATTTACATGCACGAAATGGCCAATAAATCGCTAAAAATATCCTCTCTTCTATTTCTCGCCGCTATTTTTCAGTCGTCCTTCCGTTTCGTTTCTTCCTTTCTCTCCTTTCAGATTGTCTGCTTGAAAATAACGTCTTTGTTTCAATATAACTGCTCCAAAAATATTTGTCGCGAGAACTTAATATTAATTTCGAAATTACAAGATAAATGAAGAATGATCTTCACTAATTTCTTGAAAAGCCGATATTATTTTATTAATATTTAAATTTAAATTCTACTTTTATTAACTTTTATTAATTTAAATAAAAGATTTATAAAGCTGTTTAATCACAAATCGTGCTAAATACATTCTAAAAGCGGAAAAGAGAGACGAGGAAAATTAAATATGGATGTAATGTTAGACCAATGATGTGGAATAGAGATAAATTGCATTCAAAAGTAAATCGGTTAAGCCGAAGGTAGAAGTAGCTTTTCTCGACTTAGAATCGAATTGACGCGTTTCTTTATCGCAAGATCGTTGGTACGAAAGAGAAAGGATCATTTCGAGCTCGACAGCTCACCCGGGACGGGATGTAAATCCTCCTGGAGATAGATAGATGGATAGATAAAGAGAGAAAGAGAGAAAGAGGAAGGGGAGAGAGGAAGGGTAGAAATACCGGAGAAACTTCTTGTCGAAGATAATTTCTCGTTGAGGGTTATGCACAAGGTGCGGAATGGAGCACGCTTTTGAAATATGATAATGCATCGTTCTTCCCACTTATGCTCTTCTATCTTTTACCGGGCAAAGTATATCTGCCGGACTTTATAAAGCGACGGTCTATCTCGTAAACGACGTTGTAATTTGAACTACGCATTTATTCCGACATATTACTGTCCTGCGGGAGAGGCTCGCTAAAAGAGCTCATTACGCGGTGATCCCCAGGCGAAATTAAAGCGAGGTAAAATTATCAGTTAAGGTGTATATTTTCTGACTCTAATAATGAAGCTTATTAAATATTTTTGAATTGCAAAAATATGTGATTCAAGGTTTCATAAATGCAGATTAAAAACGTCTGATTCGAATCGATTATTAATCATGTAAACATTAATTTTTAAGGAAATTGATGAAAAAATAACGAGTATTTGTGATAAAATAATTCACAGCTGTAGCTAAAATCTTTTTGAATTTGTAAAGTCATGTAATTGTTCAGAAACTAATCCAACGAATAAGAAAATTAACTAACGAATCTTGAAGACGCGCGAAATTATCGATCAAAATTTTCTCGTCGACATCCGTGAATTTTCGTGAGATTTCAAAGAAATTCGACATAATAACGTCCTAAAGTTTGTTGGAGCGAAATCACCTTACTACGACTTCTGCTTCGTGACAATTTTACTCGAACTCTCGTTTTCACGTCGCTATGTGCGTTGCTATTGTAAGGATAATAATTAACTCTGTAACAATTGTGCGCGGCTACAGAGGTCCTTTCGTCCTTTCAGGAAAACTCTGCCCTGCTGCAGTTACTCGGCGGCTGACACCGGCGGCCTGGCGAGAAGTTCTGTCTTGGTTAGAGTCGACCCGCGGCCCGGAAGCGCGAATTCCGGAAGTTACGCCACCATCGCCGACCTCGAGCCGCTGTACGCGAGGCCGTGCGGTTCCAGAGCGAGTTACTATGCGGCGAGCCACGTGACGCATCTGAGCCAGGTATGATGATAACGATTTAGCATGCTAAGCTGGACCTGTGTGTGTCTATCTGAAGCTAAAATATGTACAAAATGTTCGGTACCTCAAGTCACATTTCACGTAAGCTGTCATTTTATGCGATGCCGCTATAGCCTGAATCAAATTCAGAGATTTTTAATTCCAAATGTGTACTTTTTTTTTCTTATCTGGACGTCGCAACATCTCGAGAAATATAAGAAGCTTTAAATTGAGATGAATTTTAGAGCTCGCTCGAGAGAGGATTTTAACTGAAAATTTAATTATCCGAAAAATTAATAATAGATATACACAGCGCGACTGAATTTTGCCGCGCGACGAAATAGTCCGTGAAACAGACTCGGCGAAACGGACTCGGCGAAACTCGTAGCGCGCGTCAGGAAATCCGATTTTTCCCCGGTCGGAGTCTCCTTCCACTTCGCTATCGCTTCGCGGAGCGAAGCGTCTGCCACCGGACTACCGGAAGCGGAAACAGTGCGAGACGACTCCTCCTCCTGTCTCATCCCGCGTCCCGTCCCATCTCGTCTCGTCTCGTCTCGTCTCGTTTCGTCCTGTATATATACACAATGAGTGCCGCGCCTCGCAACTTTATCGAGTTTGCGGCCGAGCGAGCCGCTTTCCACGGACAACTTTGGCGCCCAACCCTTTGCAGCCCTTCGGCTCTTTATTCAGCGATTCTAAGCCCGCCGACCTACAACCCCCGTCTCCCTCTCTCCCTCTCCCTCTCTCTCTCTCTTTCTCTTTCTCCCTCACTTCGAGAGATGTAGGGGAAAAATCGTACGCGAGTAGTGCCTTTTTCGCTTCGATTTGCGTCTTCTCGAGCGTGTTCGCCGATTCCTGCATTTCGAGCAGAATCTCTCCTTCAGTTCGCTTCTATCGTCGCTTTGACGCGATTGCTGACCGCGTCTTTGATTCCTTTCACAGCTTTGAGTTCGCGTTCAGCGAGACGAGATGTTTGGTGCATCGCGATCACTTCCTTGAAATTATTTCTTCAAGAAACGCCGTGAACCTTTTCTTAAGATGGACATTTCTAATATGATAAGAAATATTTTATTATTTTATTTCACGCTTAATTTCATACACTTTTGGTGAGTGGCTTAATTTTGATATAATTGAATAATGATGCAAATTATTTTTAATCTATTCATTTATTCATGCGTCGAAATATCCAGGAAAGATGCATCTTTTTGAAAATTGTATCAATTCATTATATTTTTACGTAAAATAATTTTTAAATATTTTTTTATAATCCTACATTTTTTGTAAAGTATATATATCTATTATTATCGCAGCAGATATAGAAAAGAATTTGTTTGTTCTTTAGGGAAAGAAACAATATCAGATAAATGTTATTAAAGAAATTAGCTAATTTCTCCGCGATTAATTTATACGTCTTTATGGGAAGATAAAGAGTAATTCGTAAGTATCCTTGCGCTTACTATTAACGCGTCGTTCATATGTAGAGTGATATTTACGAGCGGCCGCAAAAAAGCGATAAAGGTCGATTTCAATCACCGGTCGTGCACGCAATCGCCGCGTGTCACGGGCCGCCGCGTCATTTTAACTACCGCGTTTTAAAGCACGCGCTATTACCCGCCGCTATTACTCGTCGTCCCCCGGAGTATCTTTCTGCAAAAGTGCGCAATCAAAGAGAAGAGAAGAGCGAAGGGTCGTGCGAAAATATCGAATAAATATGGGATCGCGCGCCGCTTCTCGCGGAACAAGCGTTTTGCATTAATTTCCCCGGGAAAAGAAACGCGGATGTATTCACCTGCACCCTGGTTGGGCGCGAGAAAGAAAGAGAAAGAGAGAGATCGTGTCGGCAACGCATGTGCGTACAGGGTTGTAGCCGGCGTCGCCGACGCCGGCGTTTGCCCTCCTCAGACGCGAAAGAGAGGGCGAGGATCGGCGTCGAGCTGAGGGAGCCGGGCAGAGGATGAGAGCGGTTGTGGAAGTGGGTCCTGTGATTGTTTCGGCTTTGATCTTGGATCAATTTACCGGGTATACGCGCGTATACGCGCTCTCCCCCTTCTCTCTACAACCCTCCTCGACGCGACGTTCCGTCTCGAGCGCAACCAACCCCGTGAACATACATGCACACACGCCGAAACGCCACGCACACGTGCAAAGACGCATCATATACAGTCACGTACGAGCACTCGCGCGTACCTTACCTACACCAACGGCTCGATGTAACCGTGAACCTTCGTGAAAACTTACCCTCCCGACCCGCCAGCCAGCCAGCCTCTCGGACCAACCGACTGACGTAATCCAGCGACACGGCGTCTTACCCCAACCCTGTAAAACGATACGCTTGAGATCCCATTGCTGGGGAAGCCATTACCTGGCGCTGTCTATCGGGGAAACGATCTTCGGCACGAGGACAAACACACGCCCGTTTCTCTTTCCCTCCTGGATCTCTCCACCGTGGCTTTCTGTGCGAGCGAATCGGACGCAGGGAAATGGCCTGGCGACCCGGCCATTTTCCGCATGGCCTGTCCGGAAGCGACAATTCCCTTTTCTTTTCCTCGTAAAAGTTAGACGTACGTACTATCGTTGCAGTGAAGATAACCAATCGTGTATTTGCGATGTCGCTATCTGATCCTCGCGCTTTGCTCCAACTCTACGGAGCAAACTGGTTATTTTTCGCTTATATTATTATTGGAGATGAACCGTAAAGAATTGACTTTTTTGTATCGTAGATTATTATTATTTTCTTGCGCGAGAAATTCTTTTTTGTCTATCGATCGAAAATATTTTGAAAAGGTAAATGAAGAAATAACTTTACGTATTAATTATAATAATAGAAGAATTTTCCATTTTTTAAACTTTTCATGGGGATGTTTCTCCACTACAGCCAAGCTGACAATAAGCAAAATCGTATATCTCGGAAAGAGACAAATGATTTATTTTGTAAATTCCGGGGGAGGGGGCAACATTGGAAGATCGGTATAGAAGAGAATAATTAATAATTTCGAGCGTATTGGAAACCCCATATAAATCATTTAAAGTAGTAATAAAATCAGAAAAAGCGCGAGCTTTTGCGATTGCGTTGTCGAATTAGCAATTAATTTGCGATGTATCGAGCTGACGCCACGTAATTATTAGTTACGTAAAAGCCGATTCTTCGATTTAATTAATTCTCGTCGTCGCGAACTTCCACTCCGTCGTGTCGAAGCCGTCGCTTTTTAATCGGGTGAGATGGAAAATTGTATTATTACATTGGCAGAGTCGAATTAAAAGTGCTCTGAGCATGTCGGGCATGGTAGTCTGAAAACGAAGCTTTTAGAGCGCCTTCAGCGAGTCGAACGAACGAACGAACGAACGAATGAACGAACGAACGTGATGTTTGACGAAAGCCTTTCAGTAAATAAATCAAATTGCCGCTCCCCCCGCATTGGATGGGTTAAAAACGCTCGACCATGGCGTTCGATACTTTGATTCTGATTCCATAATGCAAACAGTGAAGTAATATTCATTACTAGATGTATGAAAAGTTTCTGAATGATTCGACTCTAAATATATTTCCACAATATATGGTTCTTCATGTTGATTAATAAGTAAGTAATTTTACATATCATTTATTGAGAAATAAATTAATATTTGAGGGTAAATCGCGCGCGCGATTTTTTCGCTTGTTATTTTCAGCACGCTACGATAGGAATAATCAAAGTATACATAGTCATTTAATTGGAAATTTTTTGCTCGTATATTGATTATATCGCGCATCCTCCGGAAAACCTCCGGTGTAAACTAACGATCGATGTTCCATTCGATATCAAATTTAATCAGAATTTATATCGGAGTTTATATTAAGTTAAGTCTTAGAATTTTAATCGCGCTTAATTAATTTATGACAATCGGATATCAGGCAGGACTTAAATTCTTAATTCTAATCTAATTTATATTTATAGCTTCGTTATGCGATTCCGAATTCCATTCGCGCCTCTAACACACGAGACGGTCCCCGCTCGGCAATTTCCATCTCTCATCACATTTTTATCGGGAAACAAAAAAAAAAAGAAAGTACACAAGCGAATCGTATATATGACGTGGACCGAGTATCGCTAAAAAATATAACCGCGAGGGAGAACGAGATCGACGATGAATCGCGTCCGAGGATTTGAGACTCTTGGCCAGCGCGAAAACAACGCTCGCCAGGCGCGCCGTCACAATTCGCCTCCGCAATAATCACAGACCTCAGATAAGCCGCGGAATTAGCCGCGGTGTTTGCATTTTCGCCGAGCGTCCCACTGCTATCCGGGAATTTTGTAAATAATTTCCGAGAGACCGTCCTCTCCCCGCGGATCGACCAACGCCAACTCGCACCTGTACATTCCGAATCCGAACTGTTGCATCCCCCTCTGTCGCATCCCCCGCTCCCTCCCTCCTCCCCGATACATCGCGCGGTAATTTCGCCGACGCGGTCGCATCGACGTGTTTCGAACTGGTCCTCCGTCGCGTTTTCCTTCCCCCTTTTTTCCATTTTTATCCAGTTGCCGCCAGTTCCCCCCTCGCGCCTCTCGTTACTGTCTATGCGCGGGCATGTACGCGTGTGCGTATGTCCAAATGGAACGGGAGGGGCCGAAGGCAAAACTCCGGAAAATTGAAATTAATGAATAGTCACCCCTCCTGCGCGCGCGTCGCGTAGCTTTCTCGCGTTTTACGTCGGGGACCAATGGAAATCCGTCTGGCGAACAAAGAGAGCCGCGCGACACGATGCCATAACGACGCCCGGGGGGAGGCTTCTTCCCCGGAGGACCCGCGCGACGAGGTCTCGTCGGCGTCACCTTACACGCGACAAATGCCTTTTTAATGAATCCTCGCCCGATGGGGATTTCTTTTTTTTTTTTGAAGGGGGGAAGAAGGGGATCGAGGGCAGGGGGTTATGAATTATGCAAGCGCGCCTGTTTGCGCGCGCGATTGAGATTTTAAACGACAGCTAGCGTGACTTGTCAACACTACTAGCATATAAATAATTGTATAATCCAATGATTCTTCCCCGAGAGATAATGGATAAGATTGAAAGAAAACGTTGATCACATGTGGATATTTTTGATTTTTTTCTGCTTTTTTGTTTACTCGTAATCATTTTTTTTAATTTTATTTTTAACTTGATAAATGTTTACGATAAATTTTAAGTGATATAAAATTATACGACTTGTCACATGTGGAAAGTTGTAAAAAAGATAACTTTTATACTATTTAGAAATTATCTAAAAAATTAATATGATTGATATATCTATATAGGATTTAACATAATGAAAAAAATATTGTGTCATTGATTTTCAGTCAACCGACCCGTGTGAGAAGGCCAGAGCACTCGCGATTTCGAGAACGGCATTGTATTGTCGTACTCTTGTGCAGGAAGGTACTTTCGGTCGCGTATACAAAGGAACTTTAGAATTAGCTGGACGGGAACAGGAAGTCATAATAAAAACTGTCACAGGTGAGATTTAATTTATAAAATATTAAAAAATATTAAAAAATATTAAAAAATTTATATTAATATAATATATTATACATATATGTATTATGCATAGGGTGAAACATATAATGTTGCGTTTTTTAATTACAATTTTTTTAGTTTAATTAAAATTATTAAAATGCTGCAAAATATAGATATAAGAGAAATAGAAAAATTTTATTTTATCTAATTATTAAAATAATTTACAAATTGTAATTATCCTTTTTGCAAATATTGAAATACGACTTAATGATCGATGAATTCCAGAATACCTGTTTAAGATAAACTAGAAAATTATCGTATCCGCTATCGGTCAGGTGAATAAATCAATATTCGTGTCGATTTATTATATGAATATAAAATCCCATAATTAAAATCTCATTCAATTTTTGTATGTACTAACTTATTACTATTATAATTATTTAAAATTTACAAATATTTATAAAATAATTCTCCATTACATACATAATTTGACAAGGAAATAAATCTGTTCTGTTGAAAGATTATTGAAATCATTTGAGATTTAAACATGCTAAGTTTTTTATTGTACAAATTTCAATTATAATTATTTTATTCGTTTTAATTATAACTATTTAATATTAATTTGTTGGAAAGATTTTTTAAAGATTGTCCAACGAAACAAACGCATAATCGATTATTACACAGATATTCTAATTATGCCATTAAAGCTGAATAAGTATGTTTATTTCAGAAGTTGCATCCGCTTACCAAGCGTCTCTTTTGGTGGTTGAGGGTTCGCAACTGGCTGGATTAGTTCACTCAAACATCGCCTCTTTGGCGGCTGCTTGTCTGGACAGTTCGTGCCCTTTGTTGGCTTACACAAGTACACCTGGTGAATTAAATCTGAAAGTCTATCTTACCGATGGAAATCATCATCCAGTGACTAGAGATTTGGTGCACGTTGGCGCCCAAGTTGCTAGGGCTGGAGCATTTCTCCACGGCCGAGGATTATTACACAGGTGAATTATTATCCATTCTCCAAAGCATCATTAAAATTTATTACATTGATGAATAAGTTATTTATTAGCCGTTATTACGAGTTATTTCAAGTACAATTCAAAAGTAAAAAGATTAATCTTTTTCCAAATTTTAAATTTTGATTTCAAATTCAAATCATAATAATTTTTCTGACATTTAATATTTTTTAAAATATTTGATATATTTAATGTTTAATTTAATTTTAATATTTAAATCATACATTTTTTCAAATAGAATTATATTTATTAAGAATAAAAGACAGATAACGATTATATTGTTAAAGAAATTAAATTTGAAAGTTAAACTTGCTGAATATAAAATCAAATAGATCATATATTGTTGCAGCCGTCGTTATTATAACTTATTTCACCTCGTGATGTAAAGAGCTCGTCTATCATGGTTATCGTCAAGATGTCAATGTGATCGTTTCCGCCTTAAAATCGATTATTCCTTTTCCAGGGATATCGCTGCCAGAAATTGTCTGATCGAACCGAGCAGCCTTCGCGTGAGATTGGCTGACGCTGCCTTGGCTCGAGATCTCTTCCCTCAGGATTACCATTGTCTCGGTGATAACGAGAACCGACCTATACGTTGGATGGCCTTGGAGAGTCTTCAGCGCAATGAGTATAGCACGGCAACCGATGTGGTACGATCCCAATTTATATTGACAAATCGAACTAACGTATTGTCTTTTTCGCGAAAGCGAAAAGTCTGCGCGAAATAAATAAATAAATATATTTCTATCCATAATTAGACAAGTAACATTCTCTAATAGAATATTTCTAAGAAAAGAGAATTGCATTTATTATAATTTTCCACATATTATAAATTCTCACTTTGTTTCAAAATTAAAATAACAGAAAATTACATGTGCATATTAAAAATTTAATTTTGTTATTTTATTATTTAAACAATTAACAACAGAAAATAAATTATATATAATCAGATAGTTATATCCTACACAGACATTCAATTTTATTATGTGTCTTTTTCTTTAAGTGGTCCTTTGGAGTTTTCCTATGGGAACTGGCGACACTGGGTCAGCAACCATACGTAGAGGTGGACCCGTTTGAGATGATGGCCTGTCTTCGAGACGGATACCGACTCGCTCAGCCGAGACCTTGTCCCGATGAGCTGTTCGCCTGTATGGAAGCCTGCTGGCTCGGTCTTTCCAGGGATCGACCGACCATGCCTCAGTTGCTCGCCTATTTGCAAGATTTCCACGATGCGCTAGGCGGATTCATCTAAATCGTCCGTCCGCGATCGACAGTGTATGATGCATCGGTACAGATTTATGCGCGCACGGTCGATTACAAAATTCGTTTGAATCGCATCGCGGATTGCAAATCGCCGGATAAGTATAGCTAAGGCTATAGTGACCGAAAAACCGTAACGCCGAAAGTACGTCCACTAAGTTTGTAATCAAATGGAAGGTCTGAAGAGAAAATAGAATCAAATTCGCAAGGAATTGAACGTCACTGCCCATTTGCGACATACTGCCCTTAACGATAGACATGACACATCAGGTATGACATTTATATACTATTATTAATTCGGTTTAATCGGCTAATCAGGAATCAAACATTTCGTCGTTTAATCGTCGTTTAATCGACGAGAGAACTCGCGAAGGAAAGTAGAAACAATCGGCACGGACACATCCGTCCATAGCAATTAGAGCACGCGTTTGCGTATTTTGTGTCTCGCATTTGAACGATTCATGTGTGAAACACGAATTTCGAAAGAGTTTTATCTTCAACATTATTAAATACGAGTGGTTCAAAACATTTTTCCTTTCTTTCATGATGAAGAAAGTTTGGTTACGTAAAACAAATTTTATTGCCAGTTTAATCAAATAGATTGAATACGAAGTCGTTACATTCAGGTATTTTTTATTCAATTAAAGTTTATATTTTATATCTCTTCTCTCTCGCTTCTTATAATTAATATCTGTTACGTGAATTATATAAAATTCTCTGAATACACAATATAGATACGCAGCAATTTATAAAATAGCTTGTCAAGAGAAATTGAAAATCCTTTCTGTAATAATATTCTCCCTGGTAATCTCATTGGACTTGGTTAAATTTTATTCGAATGTATCTTGCAAGGCTCGTTACAGTTCGCAGAGTACGCGGTCTTTTACTTTAATCATGAAAATGCGCAGTCCCTGCGCACACAAGGTACGCCTGCGGCGTGGCAATTCTTTATCCTTTTGATGCAGTTGTAACACGAAATTCAGGCGACTGCGTGAATGAAAACGTCACTCCTTCGAGCTGTATTCATTAGCGCTTGTAAATACATGGCCGTCTTAACGCGTACATACCACGAATCACTCAATTCCCATGGCGAAAGCCATGCATTCAATTTAATGAGAAAGCTCGGCTTTGGCTCTTTTTCAGCGTATTGTTCAAGAACGCGAAAATGAAATGACGAAAAACAATATTCAGTCGGAAGAGTCGGAGTAAATTTCCAGAACGTCGTTGCGAGGAATGCATTGCAAATGTACGCTTTTATTCAATGTATAATGTAGAGAGAGATTTACGAAATGCGAATTATATGTTGAAAGTGAAAAACGTATCGATAAATTTTCTCGAAGCACTCGCTACTTGAGGAATCGTGTTTTATATTAAAAGAGAAAATGATGAAATATGTAAAGATCGAAATGATTAAAAGTGGTAAGTTCTTAATATTTAGCGGCGGCGAATAATTTTTGCATTCCTAAAGAAAAAGAGAGAGCATGACAATATTAGTAAATATTAATAACAAAATTATATAACACTAACGCTGTACAGAGCGATGCACACGCACATACATACGTACACACATTCGTTACATAAGACGGCTGTAAGCGTGCAAGATCGATTAATTAGGTCGGTGCATTTCATTCATTCCGCTTTATGGGAGTTTGCGCCACCATCGTCGAACCCGTACGTTGTCAAATCGCGCGAGTTTTCCGCTATGAAAATGCCTCGAGGCGAATCTAACGTAAGCCGCGCACAGAAAGGCGACCCGACCGCGTCGCTCGATCATTATTCATTATCAATAGCGATTGCGAAACCTCGAATAATCGTGACCGGAACGGATGGAGAGAGCAAAGGCAAAGCTCTCCGAACACTTAGAAATCCCATTGTTGTCGCAAATGACCTTCGCACGCTGTGTGTTGCGTAAATGGGCGGTCGAAAACTATACGTACTTTGTAGTTAGGCATACTCTATTAGTTGCACTACCATTGAAAATACCATTTCGAATTCCCGTCGTCGACTCGCGTCGACATCGAGCACGAATCTCGCAAGAACGATGCCGGATTTTAATGTCAGGTCTCGGGAAAATGGTCCCGCGTACGAAATTATCTCGACGCTCGAACCTTTTGACCTTTATACGCGAACTCGAGGTCCTTTCTATTGAGTCTAGAATTTTATGACATGTCAAATATCATCGAAAAATAATAGTAGGATCCAAAACGTACCAAGAGCAGAAATAATAAGTTTTTAACGTACGTTTGGATTTGTTTATTGAGGAAAGTGCAATCCAGTATACTTTTATATTTTGTTATTTTGATTTTATACAAGTAACTTTTTATAAATAACTTTTTGTAGATGTTGAGATCAACGAGTTAAATGTTTATTCAATTGGTTTTATTTATAAATGTTGTGCAAACGTATTTCATTAATATATTTTTCTATCGTATCGCCAAATGGACCAAAAAATACTGCATTAGTGATGTCAGATTGATGTTTAATATTTCCTCGCTATTTGAATTATTATTATTTGTATTATTTACTGTTTATTGTAAATAAAATTACTACAAATGTCGGAACACGGTGAAAGGTTTCGCCGTGACATTTCCATCATATGTAGAAAGACATTACCAAGGGAAATGAAGTTAGAGTCAGGCTGCTTCTAACGGTATGAAAAACATATAATTAACATCCAACTTGTTAAAACAATAAGAATTGATATTACTACATAATTTAATTTATTTTAGCAGTTTAGCAATTATTTTTTCATACGAATATATAATGATTATATTCTATAAAATAGACGTTCTACATATTGTAAATTTATTGAAGCGAATAGAATATATGCGAGTAAGAGTAATGCTGACATACCAAGGCGTATTAATCTGTAATCGTATTAGTTCAATTGCGCTTATTTCATATCTTTTCTGTTGCAAGCGCAATTGCGCAAGTGGCAACTAAAGCTGGTAAGGCATACAAACGAGACGAGGGACAAGAAAGCACGTTTATCGACGTATTAAACACGCTACGCGATTGATATCACGGGATAAAATTAAACTATAGTCAAGAGAGAGAGCAATATTGCAGGGCGCATATACCAGAATATCCTAGATTCAGCGTCTTTCTTTTTTAATGAGGGATTTTTCGCGCAAAGGTTCGATAAAAGAATGACCAGAGATTATCGCATTTTTAGCATTATTTTGTATTTTCGTTATTCGAGATTTAATTCTCTTTTTCTTATAATAAGTAAAAATTTAAAAATTAATTATACATCCTAAGTTATTAACTAAGTTATCTTATTAACTATATATCTAAATTATCTTATTAACACTGTTTATTTTCATCGAATTTAAATCCCATTGAAAAGAAAGATAACGATGCAAATGTCATATGTGTATATAATTAATCATTTTCCCGAGACAACCTATACTCAATCACACTCGATTTCCTCGTCGCATCTCTCATGCGAGCAATAGGTGCAAATCGAACAGCGTGCGAGCGAGGATCGCATTTGCGGCGCGAGGCAAATGTAAGGCACTCTTAAATGTACTCGATGTGTTAAATGTCGCATGTGTTCCTGATCACGACTACGAAACTTTATCGCACTCGTCTTTTACTCGTCGTTTCCTATCCATCTCTTTCTCTCTCTCTCTCTCTCTCTCTCCCTCTCTCTCCCATCTCCTCTCTTCTCTCTCTTTCCTCTCTCTCTCCTCTGCTCTATCGATTTACCGCGCAAACATTACGGGAATGACTCTCTCCTCGTATAACTGCCAGGTGCACATCTATTAACTAATTATCGATATCGCTATTTAATAATTATCTCGCTCGCTACTATTTATTGCGACGCTCTAAAGTTGTGCGTTTAACGAAAAATCGTCGGATTCTATGATGTATTCGTATCTCATGAGTGTTTTTGGAAATGGAGGAACAGGGTAGGCTGTAACTGCACACTTTTCGCTATCGCTGTATAATCGGAAGCTGCCGGAAGTTTCCGTGCGCGAACGCACTGTATTACTCTATGCTCTCCCAATTACTTTCCCCTCTCCTTTCCTCCTGAAAGGAGGGAGATCCGGCGGTGTTGGGGATCCGGTCTCGTTTCCGCTTCAACCCTCGCCCTCAGAAATAAGAACCCCTTCTTCGGACGACAGTTCCAGTCATTGTAAATATCTCTAGCGAATAATAACAGCGGTGCGCCGAGAGAGTTGATTTGTGCAGATTCTATTATTTCCTACGACGATTTACGGCATTATTTTTCAACGGAAAGTGAAATATACGTGTTAAAAAAATATTGACCTTCCATGACGTTTCATATTTTTCCTCTTCGTTTTTCTCTTTGCTCTTTGCGTTGACAGCTGGTAGGGGTCATAAGTAGGATGATAAGACCGACAGAAAAAAATAGAATATAATTATACACCAGACTATAATTATACATTAATTATATAATTATAATTTTTAACTTTATAATTAATATGAGGAGAAATTGCTATTTTTATCTTAAAAAATAATTTTAAAAGTTTTCAATACACGTGTATCTATTTAAAAATTTTTCACATATATAATTTGTATAAAATAAAATTAATAAAATTAATGAAACTAAATGTTTCATGTTAAAGTGCCATATTTCCAGATTACTATTTTATTGTAAGGAACAACACGAGGGAAAAGGGTGCGGTGTCGTGCCTTACGTTCCGCGAGGTGCGGAACATAACGTAAGGGCACCAATGCGGAATGGGGCAACGTACGAGAGAGAAGAGGTAGGAGACCCTTTCTAAAATCGCGGGTGCCAACCGCAAACGGATGGAGGACCCGGTAAGTGCGGCGCGATCGGGGCCTCCGGCGATCGACGGAGGGGCACGCACTATTTCTTAATCCCGGCTCGAGAGAGAAACGGGGAGAGTCCGACCAGCCGACCAACGAAAATGAAAGTGACGGAGAAAGTCGGGGCATTGTTACGAAGCGTAAAGCCCGCGCTGTAGACGAGGTTGTACTTCGGTTCACGAAACACCGGGATCTTGAGCCGCGTGGGTTCTCGTCTCGCACACGACGACGAGAACCGGTGCACTTTAATAGAGATGGCCTCCCCGTGTTTTCTTGCCGAAAAATCGGGGAAAATAATTCGCAGTTTTTAATTTAGATCGTCAAGTATCTGAATTAAAACCTTCTTAAATTGATCATTTTTCTACAAGTTTCCGCATTTTTTTATTAAAAAAGAAAAATGAACAATGGTTTAAAAAAATATATCAAGCAAGAATATATCAAATACTTGAATTAAAACCCTTAAATTTATCATCTTTCTACAAGTTTCCGCATTTTTTTATTAAAAAAGAAAAATAAACAATGGTTTGGAAAAGTATACAAACAAGAAAATATATCATTATCTTCCAGGATTATTTTTATAACAAAAATAAAAAATAAAACTAGATTCTTGTTTAGCAAAGTATTGAATATCAGCGAATGATATGTGTTTTTTAAATGTTAAAATATTCTTCTTAAGTGTATGTAATATGCGGTCTATTCATTTAGCGAGTAAAAATGGTAACTCGATGCAAATTGAGTGAAAAAAACCTTATACGACTATTTTTAACCGCGCGTTTGTTAGGGACGCGTTGGAGCAATCTCGTTCAAAATTTCTGGGTTATCACGTTGGTTTGTTCAACATTGTCGTCATTT